AGAAGGTGCAAATAGGAAAAAAAAATGTATATCATCTAACAGTAAATGCAAAAATACTAACAAACATATAGTGAAGAAAAGCAAAATGAAGTTGTGACTCATACTTCATAGGATGATTCTGTGAAAATCATTTCAAAGGGTTCTCCCCATAGAAGAATAATACACAGATGAAATTAGGGTATTCGACCATGATTCCATATTAATGACAATAGATCTTAGTCTCATACAAATCTTCCTTATTGCAAGATATTCTTACATATAGCTCCATCTTATATAGTTCATAGATCTTTCAAAAAGAAGTTAAACATACAAATATTGATCACATAAAGCAATCGAGAATCAAACAACCTTTATGACGATACCTTTTTTCTTTTTCTTTTCTTTTTTTCCCTTTTTTTCTTCTTCCAAAAAATGGGGATAACTAAGTTCATGTTCACTTAGAATGTAATATTTTCACATATTAAAAAACTCATTCAATTTCCTGTGTAATTGCTAATTCTCAGGAAACGAGTTCCAAAAAATTTAGCCCAAAAATGTTAAACTTATTTGTTTGTTTGGAATTAAGTTTGTAACACCAATATTTCACAATTGTCGCCTCAGTTCTCACCAGTGAGTAGACCCTGAACATAATAAATTCAGCTTACAAAGTTCATTGTACAAGTCTCAGTTATATACCCAAAAATTTCAGAGATTAAAGTGTATAGTCATTTACATGTTTTAAGCTCGAATTCATTCTCCAGTTTCTTAAACACAATCTTGATTGTGGATCCCGCTACCCATCTTCCCTTAAAAACTTGTATTGTGAGCGACATGATGCAGATTGAGAATCAGGAATCACAAGATCATCGCCAATCGCCTTCTCTGCCACTTCCACCACATTCGCCACCACCACCGCCACATCCCTCGTAAGCTCCTTGGTAGCCGCCACGGGCTCGTAAAATAATAGGAACACATCTACCTTTTCATGAAATCTAAAAGGAAGGAAGAAGAGATCATAGTAAAAATAAAATCAGCAAACCCCAAAATGCAAAATTCATCACAGATCGAAAGAA